AAACTATAAATAACATAAAAGGTATATGAAGGCGAAATTCCATGTGTTAAGTATTTTATTTACATTGCACTCATTGTATTCAAATACACTAAAAAAAGATAAAGAGAAGATTAAAATTAAGAAAATAATGCACAAAAAAATAAAAAAATTATATCAACAAATTAAAATTACATTTTCTTTTTTGCCAGCTGATCTGTTACATCATTTATGTAAGCTTCAAAAGTTCGATGAATATTTAATAAAACTAAACTAGGAAAAAAGTCGCCTCAATCAACACATTTAGGCCCTATAATAAAATTGGCATTGATATGGGGAATATTCATTCTTTGAAATAATCAATATTTAACGAAAAATAAGTGAGCCTACTTGGGAAGGGGTCGTAAGTTTGAACACTTGCGCGCATTTCACTTTTGCGGGGGATCTCAAGTTGATCTGGATGTGCGCCTGCTACTTATTTGAAAGTTATGGCTTATACGAAATTGAACAACGCTATTGTTATTTGTTAACATATTTATAACGAGTAATATAAAAAAATTTTAAAGTCACTCTATTGCAGAAAGTCCTTTATAAATAATTTTCATTCATTTTTTTTTTTTTAAGTTTATCTGGCGCCATCTATGGGCAGATGCATGCAACTTAAATGTAAAAAAAAACTAAAATTAATTAATTAAATTTAATGAATAAATTAATATTTGATAAAACTGTATTAACACCAAGTGTCATCCACTACAAGTTAAAAAAAAAATTTATTTGAACTTGAGTGGATGAATAAAAAGTATTTTATGAACGATTGAAAATTTGAACAAGATATATATAGGGAGAGTGTGAGCTAATAGAAAGAATTGAAAAAGATGCATGTTAGTCGAGTGGCTAGCGCTCTGGTGCTCGGTACCACAGGTTTCGGTTTCGAGTCCCGTCGGTGCCATGGATGATTCGGAATCCGCTTTCTGCCGTAGGTCCCGGCCTCATAGGATCGTAGAGCATTGTGGTATCTAAGAGATCGTAGAGAGTATTACTCGCGTCCGTAGCACATCTTCAAGCTACACATGCCCCCTGGGTATTGTTAAATGAGTAACGTTGGTGCAGCCCTTGCTTATGGCATAAAGATTACACTGTCTCTGTACTGCCAGCTGCATTAGAACAGCATATTTATAAATGAAGTTTTGCTTAATAAAGTATCAACGGGAAAATTAGTAATTTAACACTTTCGCTACCGGTCACACGAGGATATGTTGATAGTTATTGCCCCTCCACAGAATGAGTTTCTCCGAGGAGACGAATTTCTATAACAACAGGATTGAAAAGTGGTAATGAAACATCATTATCATCATCATTCGACGCACGGAGTACCTTGGCCTATTATGGCCTCTATAACTCCTAATCTTGCACAGTAAAGTTCATTGCAGAAAAACATGAATAAAACAAAAAGCAGTGAGCATAGTTATGTCCATTGTTAGTACAAAAGAAATAAAACGCAGAGTAAAAAAGAATGGCGCAATTAAAAAATAAAACAATTAATTAATTTAAAAAGAAGCTGCATTTTTTCAAAAGGATTATTAGCGTTTTTAAATTGCGTATAGATATTGTCAAGTCCTCCAAACATATTAAAGAGGTTGACGATTTTTTTGTTAGTACATACATCGCTTTATGGGCTGAATCAGCGATTAGGTTAGTGTTGTTAGTATTATTGGTATTTGCATATTGAGGTAGTTGTTGTGAGACCGATGGCGTAGCATGAGAGATTTTGGGGGTTCCTTGCAATAAACTTGCGAAGGATACTCCCTCCGAGACTGGCCGGCTGTTGAAGGCGGGTCTTGCAGGCGCTTGGCCCTGTGAAAACATCACTATGTGTATCATATTGATTACTAACTAATACTTTGGAACTTAATACGTAGTGATACTTTGGGGAATAAGTAATGCCTTTCCTGATAGAATATTTTGACTACGCGCCAGTACGTGACATGTAATAAATTTAAAATTATTTCCTAAATGCCACATAATGCATCATATGTAAAAATTAATGAAAATAAGCGACAAAATGCCTTGTTTGTGTGGGATACTTTATCCCTAACAAATATGTAATATAAACGGAGGTTTATAAGCTGGTTACCATGTAATTGTAAGCTGGTTACAATGATATCATTACTGCAAACGTTGGGGAAGAATGAGTTCTTCATCGCTGTCGTGACTAACAACACTCGTCCGAAAGCTCATCATTTACGAATTCACCTGTTAGAGGCTTATTAGAACACATTTTTCTTTTTGGGGAAGGACGTGAAAGCCCTGCAGAACTATCGTCTCTACAATTCCTATTACAAGTTTTTTTTAAATAATAAATAAAGCTATAAATTTGAAACCATATATCTTTCCACCTAGCTTCTAATTTTATTCTACGTCAATACCAGCAGACACAATCTACGTACATGCCAACTGAAGTGGAGACGAAATGTTGAGGCACAACTCTTCCAGAGATAATGCCTGACCGGTAACTGATACATCGTTCAACATCAGGCACTGGCGCATGATTGGCTCTTTAGCTTTGAACCACATCACGTACTGGCCCAAAATGACAGCGAATGAGCAGACCTCGTACATGTCCTGAAAAATAAAAATAAAAATTTCCTAAAATTCAATAACTCGTCTTGAAATTTTGACTGTTAGGCTTTTAAAATCGATCCTGATCCAAATAAAAGTTTCCGGAACGGATTCCGGTCTCGATATCACTTCATGTACTTCGTAATAAGTTGATATACATTCCTACCAGCAAAATAATTAATGATGGGCAAAATATATTCTTTAATTGCATATTTTTACCCTGAAACAATTAGTACTTGCTTTCTGACCCCCGACATCCATTAGACATAAAATTGGAAGGATTAGCAAATGAACTTGTAGAAAATTTTTCAGTTTCTGAACTTCGACGATTTGTCAGTAACAAAAACTCCACTTTGTCATTTCCAGTTTTAGTATGTATTCTATCGGAGGCCCTATCATACCGGAGTATGCTAAATTGTGACTTACAAGACCAAAAAAAAATCACTTTATTTTTTTACAAACCCTGCCAGTGTAAGAATTGCCTTTTCTTTTACCCATCAGACCAATACTTGAAAAAAATTCAGTAATGTGTGAGCAATGCAGCTGTCCTCACAAACTTTCAATTTCTTAAATGTATCCAGTGTGGCGAGGATCATAAAGCCTCTGATTTAAAATGCTCTAAAAGAAAGGCAGAGGAAAAATTTTGAAAATTTAAAACGTACGCAGATCTTATCACCCTAAAAATAAGGGACATATTCATCCCAACTCCAAACTGCATATATTAAGTCTTCCGGATTCATCACTAAAGATGAAATATCACAGATACTTTATCAACACTCATTGGAAACTCAAAAATTAATTACAGATATTTGCCAGGATCAAGCTGCTTCTTTTCAAGAACCTCTTCAAATATTATCGGCAAATTTCACAGCTCTAAATTCACTCTGGCAATCTTTAAAAGACTTTCCGTCCTTTAACTACAAATCAATGGTATGTGAAGGCAGTAGGAAAGAAAAGTCATGATAAATAGATAATAGTAATCGTATGATTTGTGAGAAAAAAAAAGAAGAAAGTAAGAAAAATGTAAATCATCGGTGATGGAAATGTAACAAGAAATTTATGATCAGTAAATATGCGTTGAAGTAAAATATCTAAAAAGCGATAAGTGAGCAGGAAATTATGGATTATGGCGGTTTGAGGCTTCGATTCCATTTAGAAGTAGAGAAAGAAGAATACTTGTATTTTTCATTCAATTGCGTAAATATAGTTTGTGCCTTGATGAGAGGATTTTCGTGAGTAGCAATGGTATACAATTCAAACTTCCAATATCAAAGATAAAAAGAAATCTAAAAAGAATCTGGATCCAAATTTTTACAGTTAGGCAATTCAATCTCTCTACACACGGAATAAAGAGCTTTTACATAATATTTCTTTTAATCAAATGGATACTGATCAATCTGACAAGAAAAAGTAGTGAACTTTTAGGGCTCTTTATTTTAGATACATTTTTTATTTTTCAGTTTTATTTTCTTATCCAATGTTCTTTCAAACTTTACAAGTTGTTCAATGGAATGCAAGAAGTATTCGAGCCAAGAAGCCATGGTTGCTCAAATTTTTCAATTTTGCTCATATTTTTATACTCCAAAAGACCTTTCTTAATAACAACGGCGCTTACATTTCAAACCAATAACAACGGCGTTAACAATTCATTTGCCAGGTAAACATATTTTTAGAAAAACAGATCTAACAACTCAAGAAGGGGAAGTTTGATGATCGCTATCGACTCTTCTATTTCTTGTAGCACTATTAATTTCATAAATCTTCCACATTCAGATAATGAAATCCAATCCGTCAAAGCCCACTGATTATCTGAAGATCTGGTTTTTTTTTTCAATTCCTACTATTAGCTCACACACTCCCTATATATATCTTTTTCAAATTTTCAATCGTTCATAAAATACTTTTTATTCATCCACTCAAGTTCAAATACATTTTTTGAAACTTGTAGTGGATGAACACTTGATGTTAACACAATTTTTTTTCAAATATTAATTCATTAATTAAATTTAATCAATTAATTATAGTTTTTTTAGATTTAAGTGGCATGTATCGACCAATAGATGGTGCCAGATGTAAGAGAAAATTAAAACTTTATTTATAAAGGACTTGTTGTTGTTTGCTGTTTCTTATCCCACTTGGCTGGCCAAGCCCACGAGCCCATACGTACTCATGATTGAAGAGGAAGGAAGCAGCTTGTGTTGTGATGGGGCACCCTTAGGTAGAAGTCTGACTTTGGCTCCGTAACTCTTACAGTCATAGAGAGACCGGGACCTACACCTACGGCTTAAAGTGGATTCCGAACCACTACAAACATCTATGGCACCGCCGGGATTCGAACCCGAAACCTGTGGCACCGAGCGCTAGACATTCAGGTCCCAAATTTGTGGGAGCCTATGGCACGCGGTGCGTTCCCAGGTGGTCACCCACCCAAGTACTGACCGCGCCCAATGATGCTTGACTTCGGTGATCTTCACGGGAAAAATTTCTTAAACAAGAAAAAAAGAAATTTCCCACCTCTACTTTCTATATTCTTAAACTTTTAAATTTTTATTTTTAATTCTTAATTTTTTAATTTATTTTTACATTAATTTCGTTAATTTACCTTTCATTTATTGAATTTTTATTATTATTTATTTTTTAGCCAACTGCGAAATTTTTTAATGAAATAATTCTTTTTATCTTTATTTTTATTTTTTAAACTTAACTTCTCCGATTCTACCACCTAATTCACAATCTCTCCGATAGATGGTTGCACAAGACAGCTCAGTTTAAATCTAAATTCTTTTGTTTACATTCCTAACTTGGTTATTATAAGTTCTCACCGATCTTTCTTTTTTATTCTTTGCTGTATTTTTATAAAACTTCATCTGAAATTTTTCGGTAATCTTAATTACGAATTAATTATTTTTAATTGTTAATTATTCTCTTTGATTTTATTATTTTAAATTTATTTCATCTTTAGTTTATATTACTCAATCTCAGCAAGAGAATTTTTTTATTCTTCTAAAATTTTTAATTTATTGGAGTATCCCTCCTATTCGCATCTCTTAATTAATAATTCTCGGACTTCACCAATACATTCAACTTAAACTCTCAGTTACTTCTAACCTACTGCACTACCACCAGATCAGAAACATCACTTGTTGATGTTTTGACGCTTTGTAAATAAACTCTTTTTATATATTTAACCAAGTCAAGTCACCTGCGGCCTATTCAGTTTCCACCTTCGTGTGGATGATTTTATTATGTATTCCCTTGTGTAACCTGTCCTTTTATTTTAAATAAATCCGAGTTCCTCGGCGATCCCCCTGACGTCAAGTCACGTCATCCCCCCCTACACTGTGCACTATTTACTATATTTTTTTTTCTTATTGTTATACCACTTTCTTATTAATTTGCATCCCCGTTAATTCTTCTTATTTATTAGTAATTGGGGCTAAAACTTTTTGGACACGGAACCCCTCCCCCCTCGAATGACTTGACTTCGGTCATCTAACGAGAACTGGTATATTCAGCCGGTATATCATGCCATAAAGGACTTTCTGCAATATAGTGAAAAAAAGTGGGAATTGACTTTTATATTACTTGTTTTTTTTTTTTTATTTATATTATCTTTTCTTATTTCTTTTTTTCCAATTTCTTCTTAAGAGTAATTGGATAAATTGAGATAAAACAGCTATTTCGAGTATAAATCTCAAAGTGAAGTCATTATAGGCTCTCCGTGAATCATGGGTTGATTGACTAACAACGTTTTTATTCGTAGTTTTGGCCAGCAAATAGTGCTTGCCAGTTGCGAAATATTTCTGCTATAGCTGTTACGCAATTTTTTATGTAGGTGAGTTTAATAATAATTTAATATTATATTTGTGTGTTACTGCCTTCTGTAAAAATACAGTGAAGATCATGTCTCCCAGAGATGGCTAATTTCGCGCGAAAGTCAAATGTTAGAAAATACCCAATTTCGTTAAGCCTACATTTAATCTTTAATCCTGATTTCATAATCCTTTTGAATTTTCATTTAATGCACTAATTAATTAATTTTATTTTATATTTATATAAGTTGTAGTGTATTTAATTACTAGAACGTTAATTTCACTGAGCATAATCCTTTACCTATTGGGTGAGTGGAATGTTTTGTTGGAATTTTTAATAGAAACGCTATTATGTTATAATCTAAATTATGTCTTGGCACATTAGAAATAATATACAAATCTGTATTTCATGTTATACTATTGGAATTTACATGTGAAATCCCAGGTTAAAAAGTAATTTCTCACTTGTATAATAATTTGGGTACTTACGTATTAACGATACCTTGGCGACAGACTTGACGGTTTTTTTAAGTGTCGCCAATCTAACAGCCTAATATAAAACTGAATAATAAAAACCGCCAAATCTGTAACTGCGGTTGGCGCGTGTGCTCTTTATTGCCGCAACTGTCGCCAAGGTATCGTTAATACGTAAGTACCATAATTGGTATAGGTTTGTCTAGATCCATTTTAGCTGCTAAAAGTGGAACTTTCTACATGGAATTTTATCGATGGCTTGAACTCTGGGAGAACTTGCATGCCATTTATCTTCTTATTTTTCTCCTGCTCATAATTTGCGTGGATTAAGATTGCAATAAAGTCATAGTTAATGGCTATTATACACTAAAATTAGGATTTCATACTACACCTTGAAGTTTATCTATATTCTTGAGCATCAAAGATGAGTATTTTGCACAATTTGACTTTCTTGCAACCTGTAATGAAAAGCAGGGTTGCCAAATAGTTAATTCTAGCCATTTAGATAAATTTCATAAGTTGTCTATAAACATAAATTGTTTTAGCCACTCATTCTTTTTTTTTTTTTTTTTTTTTGGTTAATTTCGTCAAAGTTTAATATAAAATACAAAATTATTAACATAAAGGATATAATTGTAATTTTTCTAAGATATTTTTAATTAAAAAATGAACAAAATAATTGATCAAAAAGAAAACAAAGATTGTTATATTTTTGCTTACCAACTATTGTTTAATTAGTTGCTCTCTAATATATTTTTATCTAGTTTATATTTTGAGTATTCTAAGAAATAAGTTCAATGGCAATGATTTATTAATTTTTGGCTTTTAAAATAAATTGCAAAATAAAAATTTTATATAAACCTATTCTAATGAGAAATTAAGGAATGAAATTTCTTAAATGTTCTGCATTGTTTTTAATATGCTAAAAAAGCAGGATTATGTAAAAATACTTCCTTTTTACATTTTTCATTGGCAAAATAAGCATTGCTTTGAAGTATCTCAGAGTAGGGAAAAAAGAAATAAAACTTATACTCTGTATGGATTTTTGAAAATGCTTTTATAACTATTTAGAAATATGCAAAGGAAAATGAAGTGATTTCTATAAACGATCATTCATAGTTCCATGATATAATTAAAATTATTTCCTTGTTTAGTGTCTAGATATTACAAAATTTATAGATTTTATTCATGAATAAATCTCAAGATATGTTTTTTGAAAGGCTTTATTTTAAAATGCAACTTTAATTTGTAATCAAAATTTTTCTCTAATATTTTCTATAATTTTTTTTTTTAATGATAGAATATACTGCTTCATATGCAATTATATAATTTAGTTTTTATATTAAAAAATAATAATTTAGTACTTGTTCTTTAAAATTGAACCTAATTTCTTGGTGTTGGTCAAATCTGTGAATTGTATAGCCAAGGATACAATCTTGGAGTTATCTACTGAATTAATATACATTTATATAAAAATCTTCAATATTTAAGTGGGTTTTTTTCCCTCTTACTTATTGCTTTTTTTTTTTTTTTTTTCTCATTTCGTTAAAAAAAAATTCAAATAAAACATTCCAATACTGAATGTGACAATATAAAACATATTTTATTAAAATATGGGACAAACTAATGAAAAACAATGCTGCTGATCATTTATTCCAAGTAAAAAATAATCTTTTACACAATTGTATTTGTATAGACAGTAGATGTAGTTTTATTTTGGTGCTAGAGGTTGCTTTTAAAAATAATAAAAATTCTACTGGTATGCAAGAAGGAAATCATTCATAGGTAGCAAGATACCATTTGATGCCACTTGGAGAGATTTATTTGTATAATGTGAAAAAATAATGTTGGTATTTTCTTTGAATTTAATGGCAGAATATTATCAAGCAGTTTGGCTTAATTATAATAAACAAGTTGGCTATTCTTAGAATAATATAGTTATTGAAATTAACATTTTGGTCTTTTATTACCTTCCACAAAGTGAATTTATTTGATTTTTAATTTCATTCGATAACTTTTAATCAATCTATTCTTCAATAATTTATTTAAAATTAATAATACAGATTGTAATTTAGCAGTTTATAATTTGATCTGTTGATAAAAATCATACAATAATAAAACCTGATCTTTCTTTAATTTTTTTTTTATTTAATCTTGCAAGGAATTACCATAAACAAAGAGTCAGTCACAATAAATATAATTTCACTTATTTAATGAAAGTTTACCTTCAATGTTAAATAATATTTGGCTTCAAACATAAATTGAGTATAGTGGCCAATGGTGTACCACTTGCGGAGTTCAATTGAGTGAGTTACCCTCATCGGAATTAATGTTAAATTGCTTAGTTTTTGACTGCATACTTAATATTAGTACAGACTATAAAAATAAAAAGTTGCTTAGTAATAAAAACTAATGAAGAAATTATAAATGAATTTTTTTATAAGAAAATGAAGTAAATAAATTTGGTTCAATTAGGACCAGATCTCTTTATAACCATTACCCCTCTATTTCATATAACTTCATTTCTGAAAAAATTCTTGATTAAAATATTCATATTGTCTGGCCTGCCAATCTTAGAAAACGTAAATGCAATAGCTTGTAAGATTTTATGAGTCATCTACTTGCACATAGCTAAATGGAAGGGGATGTATTATGCCTTTATGTATTATCTATATGAATGCATGCACACAAGAACTAGTGCGATAAAAAGTTTTGACTTTTATTTCTAATATTAAAATTTTAACCTACTATAGTATGTAAAATAATCTTGGTTCTCATATATATTTTTTTGTATTACCTTACACATATCCATGTTAAATTGAAAAATATTAATTTTTTCTTTAATGCAACTGGCAATACAGAGAGAGTTATCTCTATGCCATAAGCAAAGGCTGTACCGCTGTCACTCAGGGAGTACATGTAGCTTGAAGATAGGCTACAGATGTTGGTTATACTACCCTCACAATGCTCTACTGTCCTATTAGACTGGGACCTACGGTTTAAAGTGGATTCTGAACCACTACAAGCATCCATGGCACCACTGGGACTCTAACCCGAAACCTGTAGTACTGAGCGCTAGCCACTCGGCCATCAGGCCCCAAAATATTAACATGTGTTAAGAAAATTTATATTTATAAACACGTTATTGTTCATACATATATTTTGAAAATTAAAATATTTTTTAATATTTCAA